CGCACTTTCTTGTGTTTCAGTGCTATAGAGATTTGTGTTTAGCACTACCGATTGGATTGGAATGGTATTTGTTTGGTTCTTGCTCCCGTCACGTCTGAAACTCTGCTAAAATGTTGCCATCAATAATGTTATGTTGTTTTTGGTACTTGTAAGCATTTTCGTTCTATATAGATAGATATAGGGTGGATGCGTGGTCGTGGGCGGTGGGCTTTGGGCAGTTAGAGGAAGCGGATGGACGATTGTCGGTGTTGGTACAAAACAGTGAGTTTTTTGGAATGGTGCGCATTACTCAATGGTCGTCTTCGAGAGACACCGGTGAATGTATTTTTTATTCAGTTTCGTGCCGACAGAAAAATAATGTTTCGACGTCTGTCTTGTTATTACATATGCAATACTTTCATTCCACTTTAGTCTTAGGTCCTTTTCCGAGGCTTCTGTCGGCAGAAGAGAGCGTATCAGTTCCTCTATTCGGGAACACGCGGAGCTGTTTTATGGCAGCTGTATGCATCGTCTGTCCTTCTTCTGTGCCACTAGCTATTGCTTGTAGTTGGCAGGTTACTGGGGAGGGCGTTGTATGCCCCACAATGCGTGTTATTGCCTGCTGAGTAATTAGGGTGCCTAACATTCAATGCTGTTTCTCAGCGATGGTTCTGTGGGCGGATGGATAACGATTGCGTTTCTCATTGCTTACAACCTGTCCAGGTGATGGGGGGGAGGGCTATGGGGGCCGGCGGTGGAACCGAGGCTATGCTCGCCGCTTACTTACTCGCTTTTGTTTAGGTTCAGCCATGCCCCTCAAGCTACTCGACGTCAGGAATACCGGCCACGGCACGGGCGTTGCTCTTCTACTGCAAAGTTACATGCTCCCTTAGACATGGTACTTACCAAGTAGTAATTAATTTCATGTGAGAGCCAGCCACCTTTCTATTTAATTTCGATACCTTTACTTACCCTCCTTAAGTATGCGCGGATACTTCAAGTGCGAATTTAATCCTTTGACCAACTTTAGTGTGTCGACGCACTTCACTGGAATTAGAGTGATGTGGCATGGCGTTCCTCTTACTTTCTTGAGCCTTCTTTATTACTTTGTGACGCTGTTCTTGCCAACATCTGTACTAGCAGGAAGATTAAACCATTAACTGCTTGTCTCTAAAACTTTAGCTACGTCACATAAAAATCGTGTAAACGAGAAACAACCTATATATACTACGGCGTGGCGCCGACCCTTCTGTTCTGATGAATGTGTAACATAATGTAACTTGGGTAACCCCTTAGCCTGCCACTCTCTCTTTAATTCTTCCTACTTCGAGGAGATTACGCTAAAGCACGAACTGCTGCCCCAAATGACTACTTTACATCATCTGTCAGATAATTGCCACGCCTGCTGGGGTGTTGAAGGTTTGCGTGTGTCTCAGCGCACCAGCCCATAATGTTACAAAAATCGTCTATTTGTGCGTCCTGGCGTTTCCTTTTCTCCAAATTGTGCAATCCTTAACATAGCTTGGATGTAATGAGGTAGTCTCAGAGATAAACTTGACTAAATGTACACATTTAAAGCAAACACTTTTTTATAATTTCGCATCAAATGATTCAGGCCAATTTTGTAATGTGGGTAATAGCTAAGATGGAGGACTTAACCTACACATCTTGTACCTTTCGTGTCGACAACTAGCTCCTCTTAATAGTCAGCGACCGGCTCCGAGGTTGTGTCCAGGTATGTATGATAGTTGTCCAAGGCCCTGACATGCTCCTAGGTGTGTTGCCTGACGTGCCATTCTGCTCTCGCGCGTCTTATGCCCTCCCCTAGCCGCGTCCTCAGCCACTTTCAGGCTCCTCCGTACGCGCGTGACGTTACGGTCGGGTTTCTGTTCTATGCTCGAGGTCTTCAGGCCTAAGTGACGGCTTCTGTCATAGAGTATCAGATGGATTTTCATTACTATGCAATTAAAAGGAGATTACGCCGCAAGGGATGAGCGTGTCTATGGTGTTCGGCATAGTGCACTATCCGCATAATCGCCTGAATGTTGTATTAGCTGTCTGTTGCCTTATACTTAATCAGGTCTGGCTATAAGTGAAATTTCGGGTGTGGTGCCATCTAACCATTGGGTGGTCGAGAGATAATTGGAGGGGTATTAGAGCTTTTAGGTAGCAATTCACTTTACTGGGTAACGAATCCAAGATGCTGCAAGGCGTATTTATCTCGGCGTTTCAGATATGACTGGGGTCATGCACGTGATGGCGAGTGGATCGCCTGTCTTTTAGAGAGCCAGTGTTTGTCCTACTGTGGTGCGTATTCTAGAGTGATATGGTTCACACAGAAGTTATGTGCGATCTTTGCGCATTCTTGCTGTTAGTACGTGTTGTATATTCTGAGAATATTATCTGTGATTCTGTATATTTTACTTAATTCGATATATCATGTCTTTTGGCGCAACGCCGCTGCCACCGGTTTATGTTGACTTCATCAATTTTTAGCTATTATCGCGACTGTAGGGTTTCTGTACTAGTGATGTGGTGGTGTGTGCGAGATGAGCCGAAATCAGTGTACAGGCGGATCGCGGATTGGTGGCGGCTCGAATATTAGCAACTATGTGTTACTGGATTGTTTCGAAAACGGATGTATCTACTTTCTCGGGTCCGCCTGTTATCTATTCTGTCATCTCTCACTGTTAACAACGCTCACATATTTCTAATCTAGGGTCTAACATTGTATAATTTTTTAGCGCGGAGTTTCGAATCAGGTACAACTAAGTGGACATCAGATCGTCTCAAGTTTGGAGTCAAACGTTAACTTGCCGCATACTTTCTTCATTTCATAAAATACTTGTGACATGACGCACCAGAAAAATTTTATTGAATCGTTTCGTTATTCCGGCCCCCCTTGTGACCCGCGCGTACCTCTTTACTGTTTCTTCGTTCTTTTCGCACTTTGTTGGAGTCCCTGTGCCCCCCACCAGCCAGGCGCCGCCCCTTCGTCGCACTTCTGCGCTCCGGCTCTGATGCATACCCTTTTTTCCCGTTATTTTTCTGTGCGTTTGTCGTTCCGTAGTCTTGCCCCGGCTTCCCCGTTCCCTCGTTTCCGCCTTTTTTTCCATTGTAGCTGTTTTGTACTCTTGCTGCTCTTCCGCATCGGGTGTTTACGTCTGGAGCCGCCCGTTTCTGTTTTGGTCTCTTTTTTTTGTCATGTGCCTCCCTCTTTTCCAGCCGGCCTTGCGTTTGGGGCTCCGTTCTGAAGGCCATCGCGATCAACGGTTTCACTCCGCCTTTCCAGGTTTGCCCCGAGTGCCCACTCGCTTTCCGTTCCGAGCCCTGCCGTCGCGGTCCCGCCTTTGTCACTTGCTCCAGCGTGTATTCCTTTTTTGTTCCAATCGCCTACTTTCCCCTGTAACTATCGTCTTGAAATGAACGTCCTCTGTTTAGCCGGGCATGTACAACCCCGGTGTCCTGTTATGTCAGATTACCACAGCCACGTATTTTCATGTGTAATTGCACTTCATTTACCAATATTTTTTACTTAATTTAACTTACAATATGCTTTTTAGCCTCCTATTGTTTGAGTCATCTGTTAGCGCAATCAAACTTTTTCTCCCTCTGTGCATTAACAGGAATTTTGGCGTATTTCAACAGATCAAATGATGTGGCGGGCAAGGTACATTTACATCGTTGACACGATTCTCGATTAAGGCTTTGTGCGCGAAATGTCCTGATTTATGTGTAAGACAGGCAGGTTTTGACTGAAGTCGTATTTTTCAGATAGAAAGTAATATACTTCTTAAAGTATGAGAGGGCCATGGCAATCAGTCAGTAGCACAGTGTCAAAGTGTCTGCTTGGGCGCATAAGCTTGCGGCGTTCGAATATTAGAAGGAAACGGGTGCAGCATTTTTACATGTGATGATTTTGTACTTAGTGCTTGTTGATTCATATGGAAAGATTTACTACCGTTGCCTGTGTGCTGGTGGCGCCATGCTAGCTAATTGAGAAACCTAAAGCGGAAGGATCGGCGTTCGAGGCTGGCCCGTGCCTCCGGGAGCGCCTCGCCAAGCCTCGCCCCACGTCTGCTCTGTTTGGGAGTCCAGTGTGATGCCATGTGTGGGCATTTAATGTTTTTCTTTAATATTCACATAACTTTTTGGCAAACGCCACCGATGGGACTATGCTATTGCTTTCAGAGAAGATTTCGAGACGCGCGCGACTCCGGGCGGGAGACCCTCTCCGAGAGATTTCCGGTGGAGGCCTCGTAATGACAATCTTATAAGTTTTTAAAATCTTATAACATTACGAGACCTTTTCCGAGAGCAACGTAACGAAACTTGGTATATATATTATTTAATTTCGGTACGAGGCTCCACGGGAATTCTCGAAAGGGCGGGATTCGAACCCGCGACTCCTCTTCCGCAAGGCGAATGCATGCACGGCCCCATCGTGACACGCGCCAGTCACTCCTTATCTTACTGTTCTTTGTTATTCTTCGAATCTGTGAGTATACTGTGAAAACCAAACCAACACTGACAAGGATCGAACCGAGGAATTCCAAACAGAGGCCACTTAACACTGAGCTACGGCACTACCTGATGAACCTCTTTATTAAACATCTATTTTGTTACTCCGCTGCGCGTTACCGATAGCCGGTGATAAATATATTCACTTATAACATACTCATCCGCTTCGAAGCTTTATTTTTACACATTACGTAGAAGTTTGTGACTGTAAACGGATAACTCTTTCACATCGGCAATGCTTACATGGCGTCTCGCGCCGGTTCTTGTCAAATTATCCTACATTACTTATTCGTGGATCATCCACCATATACTACGTAAAAACCGAACGATTTTTTTCGAACCGAACACATAACTTCCACACCTTAATTAAAACTTAGGCACGTATTCGATTCCCATAGAATTATCTTTTTGTGTTATCTATGTAATATACGTTTTTTAATCTGTTGACGCACTTGGAGAAGCGATCGTCACTTTCTCACCATTTTTTTAAACTGTAATTGTATAGTAAAAAAAATCATCGCACTCTTGTCACGGGTATCTTTGGAATTTACCTTTCTCTTCTTTTGTTAATTTTTGGCGATAATTTACTAAAATGGCACTCTGCAATGTGTAAATATTTACATCAAGCAACTTGGCATTTGAAATAGCCAAGCATAATTTTCGCCATTACAAGTGTGTACTCAGTGTTTCTAATATACAATTACCGCCATTCAATACTTCATATTTTATAACTAGGATAAAGGACTACGAAATATTCTATTATCCTGTAGTTTCTCCTGAACTTTCTGCCATTCAGGTTTTTTTCAGTGCA